ACCCTCTTCCCCACCGACATGCCACTAGTGCAGAAAAACTAAAACCACCGCCAGAGATTCGAGGTACAAGGAAGGGAAATAATTAAAATGAGCTCTTAGAGTTACCTACAGTTCTTCGGGTAGACAATGGGATGGAAGCTCAAGTTATGATCCAAGTGATACAAGAAACTAGGTAGGAGCTAGAAGGGCCAGCAGATCAGAGGATGAAGCAAAAATTAAGGCCTTATTATAAGACTGCAAGTAAAAGCAGCTACTGGGAAGTTCCTATACCTGTGAAAGATCCGGAAAACACTCCTTGAGAACACTCCCCTGTCCTCAAGAGAGGGAGAGAATGAGAACCATGGATGCTTGTATGTGAGAGAGGAAGAAAAACAGAAGAGTAGAGCCTTTGGGGGTAGAAAGATTAGGAATCATTGTTCTAGCCGCCCCCCCCCCCCAGACCCTAAAAGGATCATCTCTTGCCAGAGGTGGTGTCATTTCAGGGACAAAGGACAGGCTTTGCTGCCTACATCCCTTCCCCCCCCCCCAGTTCCTCCTAATCTATTTAAAATTCCTTTATGGATGACAAATCCACCACTTGGGGCAAAATCCAACCCTAAAGGGCAAATCTTTGGAAGAAGTCACAGAAACCTTGTTTACACCAAAGCGTTTTAAGACAAGTTTACATGACTGAGATCCTAGCATTTTGATTTTAATTAAAAGAGGTTTTTAAAAGGAAGAACCTAAGTCTCTAAAAAATCACAGCAGAATGTAAACTCTAAAATGAAAGCATGTATTACATGAGTCGGGGGAGGAAATGAACAAGCAAAAGCAAAAAAAATAGAAATCTGGGGCCAAAAACAAACCACCATTCTTACTTTTAACAGTCCACAAACAAGCATCAAATGTGGCAGAAGTAAGACTCAAAGTATACCTTGAACACTGGTTTTATATTAATACATTAATCCTGGCAGTTTTTACCTGGAACAAGGAAAAATACATGATTTAGGAACTTCCAAGGTATATTCCTAAACCAATTTTGGTTACCACAAATCAAAAGAGAAAAAAGTTATTTTATATACCTATGTATCAAGAGCAACAGTGAATTTTCCCCTTAAGTTCCCCAGGTCTACAATGACAGGTGCCCTGACTTAGAACAGTTATTGTTCTAAGCCCTGGGGAAGGCAGCAAACAACTCAAAATCCCTGTCCTCATAGAACTTCCAGTGAGGAGGAGACAGACAACAAACAGTAAGTGCTGTAGAAAAACAAAGCAGTGAGTAAGAAGGATAGGTTGAAGGGGCAGAGTACTTCTCAGGGGTGATCACCAAAAAGTCTTTCTGGTAAGTTACATCTGAACAAAGACCTAAAGGAAATGTGAAAGCAAGCCCCACAGATTTCTGCGAGAAGAGCAAAGGCTCTAAGGTGGAGTGTGCCTGACCCTATCAAGAAAGATCAATAAGAATAGTGTGGCTGAAACAGAAGAAGCAAGGAGAGTATTAGAAATGAAGTTAAAGAGGTAAGGGAGAGAAGGCACATCATGTAGGATATTAAAGGTAGACCACAGTCTTGGTTTGCTCAAGATAGTCCCGGTTTATGCCTGTCGTTCTGCCATTGCTATTAATAGCACCACCTTTGATGCTCAAAAGTGTCCTGACTTGGACCATAAATTTTATGGTCACTCTCTATATAGGTGACTATAAAAAGTTTTTACTCTAAGTGAGATGGGGAACCACGGGAAAGTTGTGAGTAAATAAGTTTTAAAAGGATCATCCTGGGGCTTCCCTGGTGGCGCAGGGGTTGGGAGTCCGGCTGCCGATGCAGGGGACGCCGGTTCGTGCCCTGGTCTGGGAAGATCCCACATGCCGTGGAGCGGCTGGGCCCGTGAGCCATGGCCGCTGAGCCTGCGCGTCCGGAGCCTGTGCTCCGCAACGGGAGAGGCCGCAACAGTGAGAGGCCCGTGTACCGCAAAAAAAAAAAAAAAGGATCATCCCGGCTATTTTATGGAAGAAAAACTGTAGAGGGACAAGGGTAGCAGCAGAGGCCCCAGTTAGCAGACTACTGCAGTAACACGAGCAAAGGATTAACACTTGATGGAAACGTTGAAAAGTGGTCAGTTTCTGAAGTCAGAGATGACAAGACTTGCTAATGTACTGAGTGTGGGATTGGAAGAAAGAGGAGCCAAGAATTACTCCAAAATTTCTGGCCTAAAAGCATCAAGAGGAAGAATGGAGGTACTATTTAGTGAGATAGGAAAGTTTTGGGGGCATCGAATGGAATCAGGAGTTTGGTTCTGGACTTGGTCCACTGAAATGCCCATTAGGTACTTAAACGTAGGCACCTGGATACAGAGTCGGCAGCTCAGTGGAGACGTCTGTGCTGGAGAAATAAGTATGGGAATCATCAACCTATAAAGGGTGCAGGATGAAGTATAAAACTATATACTTGGGGCTTCCCTGGTGGCTCAGTGGTTGAGAGTACGCCTGCCGATGCAGGGGACGCGGGTTCGTGCCCCGGTCCGGGAGGATCCCACGTGTCGTGGAGCGGCTGGGCCGGTGAGCCGTCGCCGCTAAGCCTGCGCGTCCCGAGCCTGTGCTCCGCGGCGGGAGAGGCCACAACAGTGAGAGGCCCGCGTACCGC